GCTAATCCCAATCAGCCAATTGTTGACTCCATCCTTGATTCAAGGTGCCTTTATTGACACAGAGGAGTGACAATGTGAACAATTCTCCCACAACATGGTTTTTAAATTCAAATCTTAGCAAGGGTTAGAATCTTAGCCCCATTTTCCACAGTGATACTCAAACAGCCATCATGCTGATGTATGAAAATAACTATTAGGAAATCACACAATGCTCTTCTATTTAGGGGCAGGCCTCTGGGGTACAAATTAAAAACTAACTAAAATACTTGTAACAGAAACTAGAAATAACAACAGCATACAGAAAGCACAAGATTCTTTTGAAACGAAGCATTGACTAGAAACACATTGTTGAAGGAGTGGAATAGGTTTATGAATTGATAAGGAGTGGAATAGGTTTATGAATTGATAAGGAGTGGTATAGGTTTATGAATTGATTGGCATGTAATGGGTGAATGTAAAGGACACATTAAGAATACGCTTAAGAATTTTCAGATAGTGGCTAGGAAAGACCATGGTTTCACTAATAGAGATGAGGATGAGTTGTGAAAGAAATGGTCTGGAATATGGTTTTTTTAAAAATAGTCAGTTGAAAATCCCATGTTCAGGTTCTATTAAAATCTAATGCTGGGCCAATTTGTGGTGGTGCATGCCTTTAGTCCCAGCACTCAGGAGGCAGAGGCAGGTGATCTCTTGAGTTCAAAAGCAGCCTAGTCTACAAAGTGAGTTCCATGATGGAGAGGTCTATACAGAGAGATGCTGTCTCAAACACCCCTCCTGTAAACAATCCAATGCTGGTTCTATTTGTTTAGGATACATAAAGGGCATTAAGAAAGTAATCCCCACAACACATCCCACAGCAGTTTCTCTCTACAGCAAAGACTGTGAGTCACCCACCAAGAGGAAACTCATCAAATGCTTTCTAAAGGGAAATGAGTGCAGAGAGATACCCATCGTTGATCCTTCAGGTGGGATGAGATTTCTGGAGTCATGAGGAAAGATAAGGAAAAGAATCAGGAAGCAAAAGATGAGGGTAATTCTCTTGTCTTCGTGATCAGATGGGGCAGGAGGGCAGCTGAGGTAGTGACAGTTGAGATCAGGCAGACAAGAATCCCCATGGTCTTTGACAAGGATGCCTCGCACCCAAAGAAGGTGTCTCAGGACGGTGTGGATGAGTTTCAAAGTTCAGTCCATGCAGGAGAGAGAGGTGAGATGCAGGCAAGGCATACTGTCATCCCCCCCTCCCTTCTTCCCCCTCCCTCCCCTCCCCACTCCCTTTTCTCTCTACATTCAAGAAAGCTGGCACAGTGACTCTCCTCAGTCACCCCTGCCGAATGCCCTTTAACAACTACTACAATTTACCTCTGTCTCCACTCTCTTCTACTTTTCCTACTGCCACCTAACAGCTGTCATTTCTCTGGCATGTTCTCTGTGAAAAAACACAATTGGTTTACCAACCTCGGGATCTTTTCTTCATAAGCCTTATGCTGAAAGGAAAAGAAAGTTAACAGTAACTTTCCATGTCCCTAGGGGAACGTCCTTGATTGTGGACATTACATAAAAGGACATGGGAGTTAGGAAGCCCTAATTTCATGTATCTAGAGCAAACCATGTGAACTAATTAATATAATCTGTTAGAGTGTGTTCTGGGATCCATTCCTATCTGCTTGAGACATTTGTTTTCTTCCCCTTGTTCCTACTCTTGTCTGTTGTAAGAAACAACCATGCAGGCAAGGAACACCATGAAAAGCATTCTGCAATGCATCTGTGCCATGCACAACTTCATCCTAGTATTTATCATAATCGTTATAATCATCACATCTTCCATGTATCAGGGAGCAGCTGAATGATTTGGGAGAATAAAGATCCCAGCAGGGCAGGGCTAGGGACAAAGCGTCAAGCCTGGTCACGTACTTGCACAACCACAAGACTGATGCTATCTGCCTTAGGATTTCTCTTGCTTTAATAAAACACATGGCCAAAGCAAGGGTGGGGAAAGGGTTTATTTTAGCCTACAACTCCTAGGTCACACTCTGCCATTGAGTGAAAGCAGGGCAGGAACCTAAAGGTGAGAGAGAAACAGAGGTCATGTGGAATGCTACTGAAATTGCTCGCCATGTTTTTCTTCGCTTGCTTCTTGAAGAACCCAGCACCATTCACAATGAGCTAGGCTTGATCACATCAATCAGTCAAGAAATGTACCACAGGCTGGCCTACAGACCAGTTTAGTGGGGGATTGTCTCTATTGAGGTTCCCTCTTCAAAATGACTCTAGCTTGTGTCAAGTTTAAATGCAACTAGCTAGCGTAACTCCCTAAATTGATTTTGATTGTAACAAAGGGAACATATCATAAAATCAACCATTTTACCCATTTGGAGTGTGTACTTCTGTGGCGTTAAGTACATTCACATTATACAGCTAATACCAGAACTTTGAACCCACTAAACAACACTTCCCATCCCTTTTCTGCCCACCCCTCACCCTTACTGTCTCTGTGAATCTGACGCTTCCTCCTACAACTGGAGTCACGTATGTCTTTTTCACACCATATCACCTTCAGGGTTCACACCTATGTTGTAACCTATGTTCAAATGTTTTTCTTTTTACTCCTCCATTCACCCATCAATGGCCTCCTGGGCTGTTTCCATCTTTGGGCTGTAGACGCTAATGTACAGTTATCTTTGGGTCTCTGATCTCAAGTATATTACCAAGTGGTAATGAGTACATAAGGCAGATGATAGCTTACTTAACACTCTGATGGACTTCCTTACACTTTCCCTTGCTGATGGAGTAGAAGGAATCCGATTTCTCCATATCCTTACAAACACATATGTTCTGTGGTTTAATTTGTTTGGGGTTTTGTTTTATATAGTAGTCATTCTGTGAAATGGTGTGATGGCTCTTGGCTTTGAACTGCATTCTCCAGATGTTAGTGACATCTGACATCTTCCTTGTTTATAGTCTTTGTGGAATGTCTATTCAAGTCACCCGTCTGTTTCTAGTTGCATTTTTTGGGAGTGTTTTTGAATTAGGCAATTTATTTATGTATCCTACATGTTAGACTATTAATATATGTAATATGATTTACTCATATCTTTCTGTATCCCATAGACAGCCCTTAAACACTGGTGATTGTTGTTTTTGACTAAATCTTAATAGTTTGATTTTACCAATAAAGACTCAGGAGCCAGATGCTGGTGTGAAAACCTGCTAGCACAGAGAGGCAGAGAAAGCAGTCAGCTGACCTTCCTCCTCCACTGATGTTCCAGGAAGAACTTTCTCTTACACAAGCTCAAACAAAACTCCTGCTAGCACAGAGAGGCAGAGAAAGCAGTCAGCTGACCTTCCTCCTCCACTGATGTTCCAGGAAGAACTTTCTCTTACACAAGCTCAAACAAAACTCCTCATACTGAAAGACCATTCCTTCTACTTCTTGTGTGACTCTCTGTCTATCCTCTTGACTCTCTATGGTTTCTTCCTGTCAACTGATTACTTGCTCTGTGCCTTGACCTATGGCTGACTTTATTTCATTCTGTTTACAATATTCAAACAGAAAGCCCTTGAATTAAAGGTGTGTGCTAGGGCTGAGCCACACCACAACTAGGAACAGGTTTTTCCAGTACATAACACAATGTCAGGGTTCACAGTGTGATCAAATATCCTGCAGTAGTTGACAGTATCCTTTGATGCATAGAGATGAGTCTATAAATTCCACACTCCAGATCCCCTTTTCCCTGCCCTAGCCCTGATCCCATATATTAGCCCTTGTTCAAAAAACATATACCAAACATATTGAAACAACAGAGATTACATTCAGGGTTTTGAAGACTTAACTAAGTACAAAGCTTCATTTTTCTGAACTCCTCTGGTAGACAACCATGTTGAAATTCTTTTTCTCAGGCCTGGTCTATCTTCCCTCTTACAAGAAACAGTGCTGTGCTGTCCATGGCTGCTTAGGAACTCCTGTCACACTCCCACATGCCAGGCACTGCCTTTTGTATTACACATGAAATACATGGCTCAAAAACACGTGTTTCATTCTGGCTATTCTTGCAGCATCTTGAGGAGGTGTATTGCTGTCTGGATCTCTGGTCTCCACCACAGAGTTAATAAATTGCTAGAGATAATGTAGCTAATAGGTGGCAGACTGAACGTTTATGTCACAGAACCCTCTTCCAGATTCTATACACTTAACAATTGTTAGCTGCAGCTGAGGCGACATCATCCCTTAACACATATTTTGTGTCTTAAGTTATTTTAGACGTTGGCATCTTCAGTGCAGTTGGCTTCCAGCATTTTTAGTCTTCACTGAGACATCATGGCTTCTCTCCCAGCATTTCTTTTCTTTCCTTTGGCTCACAGAAACAACTTATATTCTATCCTCACATGAGTAAATTCTGAGCCCCCCTACCAGCTCATCCATCCCTACCTACTGCTGGATCCCTAAGGATTCCTGTGAGCTAAAGTCAGAGATAACACATAATCTCCAGGCATCCTGTTTTAGAGCAATGATGCAGGATCTCTACCCTGCCCGTGTCAACAAGAGCTAAGAGAAACTGTGCAGTCCTCTTAGGACCAAAACCAACAGCAGCATACATCGCACCTTCAGCTGCAGGCAACAAAATTGACACCATCTTTCCAGGTCTAATTCTCAGTCAGCTGTCCGTCTCAAGGAAAGCAAATGAAGGCACGTGTTCACATACCCTCCTTTGCTAATGATATGTTTGTTATATGCTTCTGGCCTTTCACCAAGATGAATCACAAAGTATTAGATAAGGAAAAGACTGGCTCATTCTATGAGAAAAAGATGTTTTATTAAAACAAGTAACAACACAAAGAGATGACCAACTGCCTTCTGTAGATCTTCGGGAATACTTCAGGTGTTGACAAACATTTCCCAGGCTGGTTTTCACCTGCTGTCTTCTAGTGTCCCACTGAACCTGAGGTACAAATAGCTTGCTGGCCTCTGTGATCCTGATCATTTTCACTTCTTGTTCATGCAGGGTCCTGTGGCGCTACTCTCAGACCGGAAACTGGGTGTACCCTGTGTTTGCCTCCCTCAACCCACTGGGTATTATCATCTTCTTCTTGGTCTGTTATATCCTGAATGCCAGCATCTACCTGGTTGGAGAGAAGATTAATCACTGGAAATGGGGTCAGTACTTCCCTCTCATCCACAGTCCACAGAGAGAGACGCTTCTTTCTTATCCATGCTCTACTCTCTACCCAAACCAAAGGAAAACTTAGTCCAAACCAGAGGACCACACTGCTAGGTGCCTTTGTTCATAGAGTTCAAGTGGGTCCCATGGAAGCTAGAAGACAAAAAGCCTAGTGCAAGTTGGAATTCCCTTGGAGAACTGCAAGTGTTTCCTTCTTCCATCAAATAATATCCCATTTAACTCAAAGACCGAATCTTCTTTCAAAACGTTAGGACCCAAAGAACAAGGTGTTACCACCCCAACCATGAGGGGGGGAAATCCTGTAAGGGTCTTCATTCACCCCAGTGAGGGCTTGAAGGACATGAATTCTTGTTTTTTGTTTTTTGGTTTTTTTTTTGGTTTTTTTTTTTTGTTTTTTTTTTTTGGTTTTTTGAGACAGGGTATCTCTGTATTGTTTTGGAGGCTGTCCTGGAACTCACTCCGTAGACCAGGCTGGCCTCCAACTCACAGAGATCCGCCTGCCTGTGCCTCCTGAGTGCTGGGATTAAAGGCGCGAGCCACCAATGCCCCACAGAGGACATGAACTTTTAGAATGTGAGTTTCTTTTGTCCTAGAAAAATGTGACTCTCACTCTAAACAATAAGAGATAGTTTATCGTGAGCTAAACGTGAGTGAGCATGGCCCAGTAAATGTGGATTCAGGTTGCCCTGAATGACATACTCCTCCTTTACTCAAGAAGGCACATGAACTTAAATAGTCCCAGAATAAAAGGCAATCCAAATCAATGCATTAAACTAAACATTGATGCATTGATGGAGACAGCAGGTAGGTGGGCCCATGAATTACAGAAAAATGGGGAAAACTCTGCTACAGGTTTCACATATTATCTGATGGCTCTTAGTTTGGGGGATAGTGGAAGTCAGTAGTCTGTCAAGTTAATTCATTCCAAAGGTTTTACATGACAGTCAAAAGAGATGGCGGCCCAGATGCAGAGATAGACAACAAATAGGGAGTACAGATATCTCTGGATAATTTTGGTACAACATTCCTGGAATTTGTGGGTGATATCTTTTTCTTTAGTTCTACAAGGAGACATGTAGGAATTCACCTTGGTTTCTATACAACAAAGTGAAAAAAAATCCCCTGTAGTCACCACCCTCAACCATTCAGCTACCAGCAGTTCTGGTCCATCAACAGAAATCTCCCACCCATTCTCTGGGTTTGTGAGGGAGCAGACACTTGTGGATGCAAAGAACAGGCAGTTCCCAAGGGGCTAGAGTGAGCCACTTCTGGTCATAGACTGAGACCCCAGAGAAAGAGATATTCAACTTGAATTTGTCACATTTGCTTCTCTTGGAAGATTTAGTTTATGTTCTTTTAAATAATTTATTTATTTTACATTATGACAGACGTTTACCCTTCCTCCTCTTCTCCCATTTCCTCCTCTACCTCCTCTCTGCCCCAATCCAATCTCTCCTCCTCCATTTCTGTTCAGAAAGGGACTAAAGGGAGTGTTTTCTGTGAATGTAAGCATTTAAAATGAGATGCTACAAATGAGAAAACAAAATTAACTCAAACACAAAAGTAAAAACAGACTCTTAAAACAAGTATTTCAAACCCAGAATTCCAGTTTTCAAGGAAAATCACTGGGGTGGGGATTGGGATTTCAAATGTACAGGCATCTAATTCTAGGAATTTGGTGGTACTTGGATTTCTGGGTAAAGATTTCTGATGACTTTCAAAGAGCTGTATTGTAAAAAAAGAAAACAGGAGGGAGGAAGTATGGGAAGTTGGGGAGAAAGGACTAATCCATTGGGAATCAGATGGATAGAAATGCAGATAAAGAAAGCCCAATTACTTAGAGATTATCAAGAACAGTGGGATTTTAATCACTTGTATTGAGTTTGAAGATGATTAATGCTTTAAATTGTTTCTTTATAAGTAAGAGTGTATGTTAAACATCTTAAAACATAAATTATCACCCTGAATTTCAGGGACTCCCATACCCTCTGGCCTCTGAGAATATTCGCACACACATTGCACATAAAGTCACACAAACATACACACATATGCACATACATAAAAATAACAAATACATTTTTGTTGTTGGTTTTTTGTTTTTGTTTTTGTTTTAGACAGGATTTCTCTGTGTAGCTTTGGAGAGCATCCTAGATCTAGCTCTTGTTGACCAGGATGGTCTCGAACTCACAGAGATCCTCCTACCTCTGCCCCTCAAGTGCTGGGATTAAAGGTGTGTGCCACAAACACCCAGTTTGTTTTTTTTAGAGACAGGGTTTTGTTGTGTAGCCTTAGCTGTCCCAGAACTAGCTGTTTAGACAAATCTGGCCTCAAACTCACAGAGATCAGCCTGTCTCTGCCTCCCAAGTGCTGGGATAACAAATATACTTTTAATAAAATAAAATCTCACTGTATCTAGTATCCTTCAAATCCCCATAGCCACAAGCTCCTAATACGTCCCACTGCTGAGCACTGAGTCCAGTTTTTCTTATGGTGAGCATCAGCAATCAGGTTCTCCCTTACCAAGAACAGGCACATGATGCACAAGATGGAGATCAATACAGACAATGATGTTCCTTAGCTCTGCATTCATAAGAAACAAGCAAAATCAGGTGAAAAGTCTTACATTGCTCCTTAACAGAATAAGGTTAACATCCTTTTAATCAGCCATTGCAAAGAACCAAAAGATTAGGGAGAAAATGCAGTGAGAGCAGGCCACACACCCAAATGCCCCTGCCTGAGAGACTGAAGTGGAAAGATCACTCACAAGCTCAAGGACCAGCCCAAGGTACTGTATCAAAGCGGGTAAAGTATTAGAAGAGAAATTAGATCCATCAAAATTTCATTGGCAATTAATGCTTTTAAATGGCTAAAATGCAACATCATGGGCCCCATGAAACTACACTCTTCCTCTCCACTAACGATATATTAGTCCTCCCCTGACTTACAGAAGGAAGTCCCAGTACTCAAAGGATGCTCCATGCCTCAGTTCCTGTCTTGGTGTTTTCTCTCCTCTTCTAAGGGTCCTTTCTTTCCCTTCCTCCACTCGAGTATTGCTCTGGCCCCCACCCTATCCCCAGACTTTGCCTGACTCACCTTTACTCATTTATTTCAACTTGCCTGCTCTAGGATGCTTGGCCTGATCTGCCCAGGTTGGACCCAATGTCCTTTCTGATTGTTGAGCAGCTCCTCCTCTATCTTTTAAATGTCAGACCTATCATTTTAGCGTTGCTGCTCTTGCTATAGCTTTAGGGCTTTGTCTTTGCAGGAGGCCTTGAGCTTCTTGAGGGTTAAGATGCCTGGCCATTTTTGAATCTCCATTTCTGCTAGCTTTCCCAATGACTCAATCACAGCAGATAGTTCAAAGGGGGCCAGAGAGCTTTCTCTCTAGGTAGGAGGAGAGAATTCTTACAAAGGTTTTCTGGAAATAGCAGTCAAGAGGGAACCTCTAATAGTCATAGATTAGGACATTGGGTCTAGGCAGGTGGAGATGTGCTGTACCCACTAAAGAGCTGTTGAAGAAAGAGGCACGTGTCAAAGCAGGCAATATAAAGCAACTGAGACCACTGAAATAACCATCTGCATTGTACTTCTCCAAGGGACTCCACTAAAGCCAGAAAATGGTCTTTACATTTTCAATACAACATCTCAGCTGGATGAGGTTGTAGATATACAACCATCAATATTTAGGAACCCATTTTAAAAAAATTTGTCTTGTGTTCTGACTACTAGAGTCATGGAGGATGAAGAAAAAACTGGAGAAGTCAGGGCTGGCTCTAACTCTCTGGCTGCCAACTAGCAGGCTTTCCACTGTGAAACATTCCTTTCAATCAAAAAGTACTCTAGTAAACTACATTATTTCCCACTCAGAGTTTGAAATCCACTTTGTAAATGTCATTTATAGAAGATAGATGGCCTATTAATAAGTTGGCACTTTCCATGCAATACAGAAAGGTGGTCAGAGATAAATTTTCAAGACACAAGGGAACCTGGAAATTGCTCAGCTCTGAGAGAATGCAAAACTAAAGCATCTATCTCATGCCTCTGTATGCTAGAAACAGAAAGAAATACACTATTTCTGAGGAATTCAAAGCATATGATTCCCTCCAGAATATAGTGACTCTGATCTCCACACATAGAATTGTGTGAGAAGGTGCCTTCTCCATGTTGGTGAGTATATTAGTCAGCTTTTCATTGCTTCAATAAAACACCTAAGACAGTTATTGCTAAAAAGCAGAAAGTTCTATATGTACCTCACAGTTTTGGAGAGAGGAAGTTCTATTGATTGGACTTCAGATAAAGGTAGCACCTAGGTTACAGATCATAGAGAGTGTTTTTTAAAGACCAAGCAAGTTAATACATCTCACACTATGAAGAGTAATTGATGGGTAAAAGCCAAGGCAACTACCAGTCCTATGAGGATTTCTCCATAATCCCAATAACCTAAAGATCTCCCACTAGGCTCCTCCTCCCAAAGTCCATAACCTCCCAACAGGACCATCCTGAGGCCAAGACTTCAATCACAGTGGATTCTTGAAGCTAACTCAGATCACACCCATGCCAACGCGGTGGGTGTGTGGACATTTCCTAGCATTCCACCTAGCTACTTAAGTTTGGATGGAGGAAACTTTGATGTAGAGGAAGAAGACACACTCCTATCTTAACAGAGCTTAAACCATCATTTCTGCTTCTCTCTGTGTTTTTGTGCTCTGCACTGGGCCAGAGGAGAGAGGTTATGATTACAGTCAGATGCAAGAGGTGAAGCTTGGAAAACACATGGGTAGAGAAAATGTTAGGAGACCTGGAAGTAAGTGCAGAATAAACATATTTGATCAAGCCTTTGAGTGTAAAGGAAGTAGCTTGCTATTTAGTCGACAGATGATACTTAAAGGGTTAAAGTGCACAGTGTAGCAAAGAGAAGGAGTTGTGATTGAATTTAGAGCATAGAGAAGACTTACTGAGATAGGTGTGGTGGTTTACACCTTTAATCCCAGCAGTGGGGCATAAATAGGCAGGCGTCTGTGAATTCTAGGCCAGCAGGGTCTACAGGGTGATTCTAGACCAGCCAAGGCTACTTAAAGCTACATCGTGAGACCCTATCTCAGAGAGAGAGGGAGAGAGGGAGAGAGAGAGAGAGAGGAGAACCTGAGAAGATTTACTGGGAGTTGGAATGCTCAATAGATAAGACAAAAGGATGGAAGAATTAATGAATGTAGTATGACACCTGCAGGCCTCAGTGTATACTAAAGCTTTAATGAAGTGATTGCAGCAATCTGAGCTGACCAGAGGGCTGAATGCAAGGATGGTCATAAGGATCTTGGGATCAGCAGATGGTATTTTTAAAGAAACCAAGGTGACTGAAAGGCCACAAGCAGGACTTCAAGATACCAGTCACTGCCTTGGAGAGATGATTCAGTGGTTAAGAACAATGACTGATCTTCCAGATGACCCAGGTTTAATTCCAAGCACCCTTTTCTGCCTTCTGAGGGCAAATTTTATGGTTTGGAAGTCATGGAGGACTCCAATTAGGTGGAATTCCACTTCTCTAGTTACTCTCAATTTCATGCAGTCTCTTTGTCTCTGTCTGCAAGTCTCTGCATGTTCCTATGGATCTGGGCAGTCCACAACACTCACACAAAGCACTGTCTCTGCATGTTCCTATGGACATGTGCGTACACAGAGCTCACACAAAGGCCAGCAATTGGAAGCTGTATGAGAATGCTGTATAGACCAATAGCATCACTGAGTATCTGGCTAACTTCATGCTGAGCCCCAAGGTAGGAGACAGATTGCTTCTTGTCTTTGTAGCAATAGTGGCTGTTTATCAGAGTTCTCTCCTTAAGAAAAAGTGTTTTGACTTCCCACTGCCCTATCAGGGTGAATCTCCACCCCCTCAAGAATACCCGTCAGGGAACCGGGTCTGAGGTATCTCTGTGTCTGTTTGTGCAGGTGCCACAGTGAAGCCGTTGATGAAGAAGAAGAAGTGACTACACACTGTTTTCCAAGAGTCATAGAAGAAGAAACATAAAAACTGGTCATCTGTCTATTCTCATTAATATTACTCCTTTTGGGATCAGTGGTGGAATAGCATGGGGAGATATAAAGGACAGAGAACGGCACCTAAGTTTAATAAAGGGTATGAAGGGGGCTTCACTTGAGATCTTTTGGTTTTCTGAAAGGCTGATAGACAATTCCTGATGTCTCAGAATCTACTGATTTTGTCTGTCCTTCATGGAAGATTGTTTCTGGCTAAAAAGGCTAAAGAAGCCTGTGTAGACTTGCTGGTGGACTGTTTAGAGGAGGGGTGTGGGGAAAGGAACTTAGATTCATCCAATCACTTCACCTTCAAGGGGGATAGTGAGGACCCAGATAATGAGTTGTTGCATTCATCAAAATCATTGTCACACTGGAGTAGCAGGGCACACGGGCGCAGCTGAACTCAAGGCTGCCCTGGCCTGCTGAGTAAGACCCTGTGGTGGTTTGAAAGAAAATGACCCCCAAAGGAAGTGCACTAATAGAAGGTGTGATCTTGTTGGAGTATATGTGGTCTTGTTAAGGGAAGTTTGTCACTGTGGAGGCAGGCTTTGAAGTCTCATACATGCTCAAGGCATGCCCAGTGAGGTAGACCACTTCCTGTTGCCTGCCTATCAAGATATAAGACTCAACTCCAGCACCATGTCTGCCTCCATGCCACCGTGTCACACAATGATAATAATGGACCAAACCTCTGAAATGTAAGCCACCCCAATTAAATTTTTTTTCCTTTAAAAGAGTTGCTGTGGTCATGGTGTCTCTACATAGCAATATAAATCCTAAGATATACCTAGTCTTGAAAAGACAGAGAGACAGAGAGAGCGGAGAGAGGAGAGAGAGAAATGGTTATAATGAAGGCAATGGCTTCTTCCTAATACCCAGGCTGGGCCATTTTTCTTTTTTTTATTTTATTTTATTTTAATTTTTTTCCCTTTCTTTTTTTTTTTATTTTCCAGTTTAAATTTAGATAAGAAATGAGGTTGCTTCACAAGTCAGTTCCAGGTCCCTCTCCCATTCCCTCCCCTCCTCCCGTGCCCTTCCCCCAACCCCCCCCCCCCCGTTATCCCCTCATTCCCCCAGGGAAGGTGAGGCCCTCCATGGGGGTGTCCATAGTCTGTCATTTCATATAGGGCAGGGCCTAGACCCTTCCCCAAGAGTTCAGGGTGAGAGTGCACCTCATATTGTTCTATGGGAGTCCAAAGTCCGTGTGTATACTTGGGATGGGTACTGATCTGCTGCCCAAGGCTCAATAGATTACCTAGGCCTCCTCACTGACACCCAGATTCAGGGGGTCTTGATCAGTCCCATGCTGGATTCCCAGGCTGATGCCTGGGATTCAAGAGTTAACCTTTGTCTGGTCAGCTGTTTCTGGGGGTTAAACCAGCCCAATAATCCCAATTTCTCTAAAACCTAAGTATTTTAAAAGTTAATTGTTCTCAATGATTTCTGGTCCATTTTCCCTTGATTTGGAAGTGTAACGACATAAAAGCTACTGAAGGTGTCTGTCTGCCTAGTGTGATGTGAATTCACTGAGCAGTGAGAATAATTTATAATAAATGGCAAGAAGTCTGCCCCTCTTTAGAGCACACACTTGGGGCAGAAATTAACACAGAATGTAAAGAGCTGTCAAATGGCTCTTCCATTTGAATACTGATTTAAATGGAGGCGTGGGTAAGTTGTCGTGAAATCTATGTGTATAGCGTATGCAAAGGAGAATCTAGCTGGGAAGGAGGGTAAGTATGAAGTTCTGTGACTGTATCCATACAAACTATGAGCTGATCAGGTGACTCACAAGGGCTCATGAACCCTCTCATTTTCCTGCTGGGTTTTAGGGCCATTTTTCTCATTGCTGTACACTCATTGTACATAGAACTGGGTCTTGTGAAAACAATTCCTTTTAAGAGTACACCATACCCGGGCTGTGGCAGCTCATGCCTTTAATCCCAGCACTCAGGAGGCAGAGGCAGGTGGATCTCTGTGAGTCTGAGGCCAGCCAGGTCTACAAATGAATTCCAGGACAGCCAGGGATACACAGAGAAACCCTGTCTCAAAAAGAAAAACCAAAATGAAAGAGTACATCATGCATTTTAAGCACAGTCACCTCCCAAGAATCTCCCTGTTCTCGCTCTTGCCCAATTCCTGTTCCTCTCCCAGCTCCTTCTCATTTCATGCCCTCCCCAACACACACATGTTTATGCATAGTTCCATCTACACACATAATTTAGGATCCACATATAAAAAACCATTTGTCTTTCTGCATTTGGCTTATTTCCTTAATTTCCCCAACACACACATATATGTATATGCATAGTTCCATTTATCTATATATAATTTAGGATCCACATATGAGAAAAAACCACATTTGTCTTTCTGCATTTGACTTATTTCCTTAATTTGATGATCTCCACATATATCCATTTTCCAACAAAGGACATACTTTGATTCTTATTTTTATTTTTATTTTTATTTTATTTTGGTTTTTACGAGACAGGGTTTCTCTGTATTATTTTGGAGGCTGTCGGTCCAGCCTAGCCTCGAACTCACAGAGATCCACCTGTCTCTGCCTCCCGAGTGCTGGGATTAAAGGCGTGCACCACCAATGCCCGGCTCATACTTTGATTCTTTATGAATGAATTAAACTGTATTTATATAAAGATGTTTCATGTTGCTTGTGTTTCTGTGTTAGGGTTTGCACATCTGGTAGTAAGGCCCTTTGTTGGATTTGGCTTTAATCACCCACACTCTTTAAGGGGGTGTATTTTTTTAAACATTTTTTTAAAATTTTTAAATAGCATGTTTTACATGTCAATCCCAGTTCCCTCTCCCTCCCCTCCTCCAGCACCCCCCATCCCCCCATCCTCCCACCCTATTGCCAATTCCTTCCACATAGGGGATATCTAGAGTCTATCATTTCATTCAGGGTAGGGTCCAGGCACTTCCCTAAGAGTCCAGGCAGAGAGAGCAACCCTCTTTGTGTTATGGACACATGATGTCTGTTAGTATTCGAGGGATAAACACTGATCCACTGCTCAGGACCCCATAGGTAGCCCAGGCCTCCTCATTGACTCTCACATTCAGGGGGTCTGGATCGGTCCCATGCTGGCCTCCCAGCTGTCAGTCTGGGGTCCAAGAGCTCTCCCCTGTTCGGATCAGCTGTCTCTGCTGGTTTTGCCAACCCATTCTTTGCCAATTTGCTCTTCGCTCCTCTCTCTCTGTTGCTGGGTTCCTTGGGTTCTGTTCAGTATTTAACTGTGGGGGTTTGCCTCTGCTTCCATCAGTCACTGGATGAAGGCTCCAGGATGGTTATAGACATCAAGTTCACTATCAGGAATAGGCTTTCGAGGTGGTCTCTATACTATTACTTAGCTTGCCAATTGGTGTCATCCGTTTAGATCACTAGAGGTCACAATGGTGCCTGATCTGTCTTCTAATTTATGATTCCCTCTTCCCCCTATCCTACCCCCCCAGTCGACTTTCCTGTTCCTCCACCTCCTAGTATCTCTTCCACTTCTCCCCCTCTCTATTTCTCAGGTCCCCCTCCCCCCACCCCTCTCGGTGTTCCCCATCTGTTCAGAGGATCTTGCCTCATTTATTTGTTATGCTCAGATGGGACCTGGTTCTGCTTGCATGGCAGGGCTGTTCTTCCCCACTAGTCTTAGTAGTTAGGCCATCAACCCTGTGCTTGGGGCAGCAGGTTCTGTCCCTGGCTGTGCTGGTTGACTTTTTCAACTTTTTTTTTCCAACACAAACCTATACATATCTGGGAAGAGGGAATCTTAACTGAGAAAGAGTTCCATAAGATAGACCTGTAGGCATTTTCTTAACTAGGGACTGACGTGGGAGGGCACAATCCATTGTGGGCGGTGTCACCCACGGGTAGGTTGTTGTGGGCAGTCTAAGACAGCAGGTTGTGCAAGCCATGGAGAACAAATCAGTACACATTATGCCTCGTGGCCTTTGCTTGAGTTCCTGCCTCCAGGTTCCTGCCCTGCCTTGAATTCTGCCCTGACTGCCCTCAGTAATGGACTGTTACCTAAACGTACAAGCAAAATAACCCTTTCCTCCCCAAGCTGCTTTTAATCATGGTGTTTTATCACAGCAATACAAACCCCAAATAAGACACCAGTAGAAGAAGTAGCCACAGCTGATAGACAAGATTATATGAAAATACAGCAATAACCAATCAAGAAAATTTGTCAGGCCTGCCACTGAAATCCATCAGGAGTGGGTGCTAAGCCTGCTTCTATATTTGCCCTTATGTGAGTAGGCTGAGGGTATAGGCTTATCTCTATACAGACCATTCCAGACAATGGCCAAGAAAATATTTCTGCCTCAAACAGTCTTCTGTACAGGTATCCTGAAGGCCAGGTCACAGTAGATCTGTGATACTTGCTCTGGGTTTCCCAGGGTGAGTAATGCAGGAAGGGACCTTTGCCTCTAGAGCTGCCTAGTAACTCTTTTCAAAATGGATTTTTGCCTCACCTCCTGTTTGGTACCAAGAGATGATTTTGTCAGCAACTATTTTCCCCCATGATCTTTAAATTATCTCTTGTAGATAGTATGGTGTGAATTTCTCTCTCTTTTTAACACATATATATGTTAAATATATATAAATTTAGAGAGAGAGGGAGGGAGAGAGGGAGGGAGGGAGAGAGAGAGGGAGGGAGGGAGAGAAAGTGAAGTGTCAACAGAGGGAGGCCTGAAGAGGGCATGAACTCCACTGGAGTTGGAGCTGCAGGTGGTTATGAGTCACCTAACTTGGGTACCGCAAACTGAACCGGAGTCCTTTGCCAGGGAGTACATGTTCTTAACCACTGACCATCTCCTTGACGTCGTCTTTGTTTTAAGCCGTGATCACCACCCTGTGTGTTGCCCTCACACTGGGAGGAGAGCCCTCCTGAACAGATGCTGGATTCTCTCCTTCCATTCTGGTTTCCAATGTTTTCTTCCTTTCATCGTTGCTGAAATTCGTGAGAGATTTTCCTGCCAGCACCCATCTCTTCCCATGACAGCTCTCACCATTATGCCCCATTTAACTGCTGAAGTTTCCAGCTATGAGTATTATCTGCCACAGTCCTACTAGGGTCACTTCCTGAGAATGCAGTGACCAGTGCCTGGTGATGGGAAAGAGTGATTGAGTCCTCTAGGCTCATGTGGGTTGGGATGTGGGCATCGTGGTGGAGTGGGCACCGTGGTGGAGTGGGCACCGTGGTGGAGTAGTGGGCACCGTGGTGGAGTGGGCACCATGGTGGAGTGGGCACCGTGGAGTAGTGGGCATCGTGGTGGAGTGGGCACCATGGTGGAGTGGGCACCGTGGAGTAGTGGGCATCGTGGTGGAGTGGGCACCGTGGTGGAGTGGGCACCGTGGTGGAGTAGTGGGCACCGTGGTGGAGTAGTGGGCATCGTGGTGGAGTGGGCACCGTGGTGGAGTGGGCACCGTGGTGGAGTAGTGGGCACCGTGGTGGAGTAGTGGGCATCGTGGTGGAGTGGGCACCGTGGTGGAGTAGTGGGCACCGTGGTGGAGTAGTGGGCATCGTGGTGGAGTAGTGGGCACCGTGGTGGAGTGGGCACCGTGGTGGAGTAGTGGGCACTGTGGTGGAGTAGTGGGCATCGTGGTGGTGGAGTGGGCACCGTGGTGGAGTAGTGGGCATCGTGGTGGAGTGGGCACCGTGGTGGAGTAGTGGGCACCGTGGTGGAGTGGGCACCGTGGTGGAGTGGGCACCGTGGTGGAGTGGGTAC